TCCTGTTCAGATTACAAGTGCTAAGGAGTGTGGGTACTATCTTCCTGTCAGGGGGACCCATGAATATGCTAATTTGATATTCACATCCTGTTCTATTTCACATCTCTGTCCCCGGAGGCCTTCCGGTAATGATCCATTTCACCTTGGGCTGCCCTATATATGTAGCCCCAGGTGGCGTGCCACTCTCTTCTCTGGAGATCCATCGCACACGAGGACATTTTTCCCCGCGACGTTCTGCAAACACTCGGTAGGTCTGCATCACTGCACTTCCAATCTTACAAAAACGTTGTGGCAGGTAATTTTATACACTGTTGAGTGTGCATAACATTCACATGGGGGCTTTTCATGGTGCTGAAACGGTAGATGTGATAAATTGATTCGACTGGTGCTGTTTTAGCAAGCGTTTACCAGCCTTTTTCAGATCGCTTTGTGCGATACTCATGTTTGGGATACAAGAGAGGTGTGTGTACTGTAATTTGTTTAACTTTTCATTGTTAAACATTGGATTATTGTTATCATACAATGCTACATCCTGTTGACACTATTTTACAGAAGAATCATTTATTCCCTTGGTGTATAAATGATTGGAGTACATGGAACTGCTATTCATGTCATACAGTCTTTTGTAGACACAGGTTTGAGTTACAAATTTAATGTACTATTGGAGCACAAGTACAGCAAAGGTAAAGAATTTTAAGCAAGTAGAACACAGATTTGTTTGTTTGTTTATAGTTGCCATACATGTTTATTATTTTCAGTCACATTTCCTGTTGCATATTATGGTATTTAGGTCCCCAGTGTTATGCTTGAATTGAATACACACAGTACTACATTTTGGCTTATTTTTAATCTGCATATACAGGATTTTTTTAAATTTGATTTTAGGCTTTAGGTTTGGTTTACTTATAATAAGCAATGCCATAGCCCTCTCGCCAATTTTATATTGTGTGTTTTAAATGTAGTTCATGGCTTGTCACAGAAGCGTATTTGCTTAGTGTAAGAAACAGTGGTAATGTTTACTTAGTATTTCAAGGCAAGTTGTCCGTATTTCCAAAACCAACTCCTATAAAAAAACCTTTTAATCCAGACTTCAATATCCAACCTCCACCTGCCCTGTTACAGTACATAAAAATGTGATGAAAGGAAATGGGCTCATGAATACACATCTCGCCATGTTGCCTGTCTTTTATTAAGACATGCATCCCAATAAAAAATCATCAGTCCTTTGGTTCCTGCAGACATTGTCAATCTGCCATGTATAATGTAGAGAAAATACTAGCTTGATTCTGGTATGTGACTGTGGTTGTGAATGATGGTGGTCACTACTTTATTTGAGTAGAGTATAAAATAAGCAACCTGATTTAGATGGCTTGTATGCCATAGCTTCATTCCCTGTCCCAGTCTAATATGATGTGTGATAAAATTGTAGTCTCACAGATTTGATACAATGCACTGGATACAATATGCTGCCTTTTATAAGGGTACAGTGTGATCTATTTGTACACGGCCTCTTTTATTTCAATATTAGCAATGTAGGTCTTGACATTTAATCTTCTCCATGGATCTATCTGTCCATTTTGACCCGGGGGTATAATGTACAATCATGTAGGATAACAGGTCAGCTCTACTGACTATGAATTGTTGCATGTACATAAGACTTGGATGGAATATATATTGGGGTCTGAGGTTTGGAGATTTTTTTTTCTGACTGATTGTGTTAATATTAGGAATAATTTAGAGGAGATACAGTGACACACTGTAGATAATTTGTATGGTTGTATATTACCAGATACATGTATATATACCAGTATATATGCTGCTGCTGTATCTGTTAGGTGTTGAAAGGTTACCGTAGCACATTGTAATCTAAATCTAGGTCCATAAATGATGTTTTCTATGAAAATGGTATGTGCATGAGATACATAATGCAATAAATACATGTGTATGAGATGCAAAAGTGTCGTATGTACATGTAAAATTTTATATCATTACACCTATTTTTTTATTCACAACTTGATATTGTTGGCGGTAAGGCCACACCAATTTAATTTGTTGGTTCTCGGATTTTTTCAGAAAAAATATGAAGCGACAGGGCGAAAAAAAAATAAAAATAAAAACAGGTCTAGGCATCCTATTATAGGCTTAAATGCTACAAAATGAGCCATGAAGTCAACACAAAAGGCTGGGTTAAAATTTAAACATTGAATTTTTAACTTTTAATCAAACCACTGCAATGATAGATGGGAAAACTGTAACAACTAGGAAGAAAAGGACTTTCCTCAACTGTTGGGGGGCAAAACATGAGCATTTTTCAGTTGATTCAGGACCAGAATCAAATTTTTTTTTTTTTTTTGCAAATCAGAAAAAAACGAAGAGGCGAATCCGAGAACCAACAAATTAAATTGGTGTGGCCTAATGTACAAACGTCGACAGAATGTACATGTCAGGTGTGCATGCATACAATTTACAAGGTGACTTTGCCTCAAATATATAAGGTGCCATTCAAAGCATTCGAATGTTACCATATGTGAATTCAAAATGCTCTATGCATTGCCAGTACTAATGATGGCATTTTCTTCTTCTTTCACAGGGAGGACAAAACCTTATATATAGTCAACAGCAAAGGATATGAGAGCATCTCTCTGTCTATTTTCGGTATGTTCATTATTTCTACATAATGGTTCGTTATACCATTCAAGTACATGTGGCATCAAATTGTGCAGGAAAAAGAACTGATATGCTTCCTGTTTTGAACCCTTTATAGCACAGTACTTGATAGCTTTATATAGACTACTGATAATTAGTCTGTATCATAACTGGTGTCATTAAGGGACAACTGAATTGGCAATAATGAGTGCAATATGAATATTTTATATGGCATCATATGTCCATCTACCACAAGCTTAATTCAAGGCTCAGGCCAGACCAATTTAATTTGTCGGTTCACAGATTTGCCCGTGTTTGTCTTTTCCAGTATTATTTTCCAGTGTTATTCCTGACACGTCTAGATAAGGCCACGCCAATTTAATTTGTTGGTTCTCAGATTTTTTTCAGAAAAAAATGTGAAGCAACAGGGCCCAAAAAATCAGGTCTTCGCATTTTATTATAGCCCCAAATGCTATGATAGGCATGAAGTCAACACAGAAGGCTGGGTTAATATTGAATTTTGAACTTTTAATCAAACCACTGCATTGATAGATATAAAAAAACTACTGTAACAACTAGGGAGAAAAGGACTTTCCTCAACTGTTGGGGGCAAAATATGAGCATTTTTGAGTTGATTCAGAACCAGAATCTTTTTTTTTAATCAGAAAAAAAATGAAGAGGCGAATCCGAGAACAAACAAATTAAATTGGTGTGGCCTAATGGTAATTTGATGTAGGAACCTGGATAGTTTTGATACGCTACTCAGGCCTGCAACATTTCTGAACCTCTTTCCATTGATTTCCTGTCAACACAAATTGTGCTGATGATGAAATATCCATAACATATCACAACAGCTGGCCTTCCAGGATCTTTGCCCATATATTGAGTAATATATTTATATTGTAGAATTTGCATTTTTACCCTCACTTTTGCCAATATCTCAATAGATTCAGGCATATTTTATGATAAAGTTGCAACAAAGGACTTAGGCCACACCAATTTAATTTCTTGGTTAACGGATTCGCCCGCTTCAGTTTTTTCTGATTTGCAAACAAAAATAAAAATTCGGAACCAACTGCAAAATGCCTTTTTTTGCCCTGAACAGTTCAAAACAGTCCTTTTCTTCCTAGTTGTTACAGTTATTCCATCTTTCAATGCAATGGTATCATTAAAAGTTCAAAATTCATTGTTTAAATTTTGAACCAGTCTGGTGTGTTGACTTCAGTTCATGGCTCCTATCGTACCAATTTGGGCCATAACAGGATGCCTAGGCCTGTTTTATTTTATTTTTTCGCCCACCCGCTCCATTATTTTCTAGAAAAATCCGTTAACCAAGAAATTAAATTGGTGTGGCCATAGTACAATGATGGCAAGTGATATGGACGCAAACGGGAAATGATTTCTCTAGGCCAGTGGCGTCACGAACAGTGTGAACAAATGCACAATAAGTATGTAACAGGAAGAGATGCAACGTGATAGAGCAAGTCCACTGGGTGTGAATCTTCCTCACTCAGTCTGGCAGATGGTCCACAGGATAAGGACTGTCTAGCAGAGATAGGTCTCAAACCGTATTTCATGGTACATGTGGAGAGAAGAAGTGATTTAGATCTCCGACTTCACAAAAGTATCAGCTAATTCTTGGAAAAGATGTTTCTCTTCCTGTTGAGTTTCTATTATTAGATATTAATGCATGCACAAATGGCGTTGTAGAACGTTAGGCAGAGTCTAGGGCAGTGTACTTCCTTCCAATGCTCTTGAGGCACAAAATTTCCAGCACATATTGTACACAGTATTTGATACTAGCTAGTACGTTTGCTTGTTGTATGATCAGGAGGGCCATTTTCTGATTGCATCATCTTGACTTTTACAGGCACTTTCGTGGCCATGAATACGAGATAAGAATCTTGACAGTGTAGGAGTCAAAGCGGTATTTCTGACAGAATATCTCTCCCGAATTTATCTGCAGATAAAAGGTCTTGAAACAGTGTATAAGTATTTGATGTATAGGTTTGTATTGTTGATGTATTGTTGTAAGATCAGAAGGGCCATTTTCTGATTGCATCTTGACTTGAGATGTACAGGCACTGTCATGGTCGTGAATACGAGATACGAATCTTGACACTGTAAGCTGTATTTCTGACAGAATGTTTCTCCCGAATTTATCTGCAGAGAAGAGGTCTTGAAACAGTGTATAAGTATTTGATGTACATGTTTGCTTGTTGTAAGATCAGAAGGGCCATTTTCTGATTGCATCTTGACTTGAGATGTACAGGCACTGTCATGGTCATGAATACGAGATACGAATCTTGACACTGTAAGCTGTATTTCTGACAGAATATTTCTCCCGGATTTAGCTGCAGAGAAGAGGTCTTGGTACAGTGCAGAGAGAGGGGCATCTTGTTTCTAGATGGACCGCGAGCAGCACTCCATCCAGCTAGAAAAGCAGCATGTCCACGACGTTTACGGATCGGATCGCACCGCACTTCAGCGACACGCGCTACAAGGCCTGGCCACAGGTCAAACAGTTCCTCATGAAGCAGGAGCCAGGGAGCCTCATCGCAGATGTCGGTGGGTTTTTTTACTTCAGTATTGTTTTTGGTGTGTCTGTGTATGTGTCTGTCTGTCAGTGTCTGCATGTGTGTGTGTGTGTGCGTGTGTAATGTGTGTGTGTCTGTGTTTCCGCACATTTGTAGTCAAGCATAACTTCAGAACGCTTTTATGTATTGCGATGATATTTGGTACATTGGTTGGTCTTAGAAAGGCCAAGGTCAAGGTCAAATATGGACCTCCTGGTTGCTGACCTAGGTACTGCAGCAGAACTTCTGGTTTTTGTATCTTTTGTTCTGAACATGAATTCTTGGTGACAGACAGCTTTTCCTGTCAAGAATAAGTGGTATGGGTTTTGTTTACGATTTGTTCTGTAGATCTTGGTTTAAAGTCAGGGTACAGGTTTTCAAACGTTTTTGTTTTCAAGGGGTAAGAGTATACAGGGAAAGAGTTAACATCCTAAATACACTCATTACCATCAAGAGTTTAGCTTGTCTGAAAAAATTGGATGTATTTTCTGTTGAATCTACTCATACATGTATAGTACTTCTTACTGCTGGCATAAGCAGATACACTGGTCATGCAAGTAACAGAAAGTACAGGTAGCCCCTCTCTCCAATACCCTACTAACTGCCGTATCTTTGATATTGTGTTCAGCTATATTCACCACTCTGGAAGATTTGACCAATCGCATTAATGCTATGCTATAGGTATTGGTGCGCCAGCAACTTTCATTTTATGTTTATGTTATATTTTATGTCATCTTTATGTTTACATTTGTATTATGTTTTATGAGCAGCAGATTCACATCAGCACAACAAGTGCTTCCTATCTAATGCTCAAAAATCCATGTGAGTAAAAAAAAAGTAACAGAAAAGGTATGAACTAGTGAATTGATTATTAGTGAGAAAGTGCATCCACAACTGCTATTTTTTTTTATTGCTTGTCTCTGAGGAGCTTGAAGAAATGTGAATCTGTTTCCTATCTTCATGCATGTTTTATGTACCCTTTCACATGCTCACAACTAATATAAGTGCTGCATACCTAAACCCAATTTTATGTTCAGGTCCGGATTCAAGTCCAGAGGTTTAGGTTCAGTAAGTCCGGACCTAAACCCATGGCATATACAAAATTGCATGTTGGCAACTTTGCAATGTTGTCTGGGTGGAACTTTGGCCACATAACATGGAGGCCGGTACTTGACGATGCCTGATGGCAATGTTTCCTTCATTTTGCAGCAAAGATTTTGCAATCTACGGAAGGTTTTAGGTGGTTTGGAAAGAAAAGGGGTATGTGAAATGGTCTTTTATGGTAATAAGTCCGGACTCGGTTCTTGACTTTTAGGTTTTTTTTTACTTGAACCTAAACATTCTTACAAGTCCAGATCCAAGTCCAGTGAACCGGTATGCACCACTACTCACAACTAAATCAGTATGCAAAAGGTCTCCCTCCTTTCATTTTAACGCAAAGCATCAGAAAGAAAGCGGGCTACCAAGTCAGAAATGTCATTGGAGTAAAGTGTATGGCAGCTGGCCAGAACTGAATGTCAGAACATTGATGTTTGATACTTGATGCCAGGGTTAATATCGTGGTTCAGTAGTCAAGGATGAATTTGTAGGTCATTACAATTTAGCTATATATAATTGTACTACAACCCCGGGTACCCCTTGGGGGAAAAAAATTAACATTGTTCCATTTTCTCTTAGTTCATTCTTCATCAGACAAATATAGATGTAAATGTACTAGTACTTGTACATATAGAATTATACAACATGGGGTATTCTGTATGGGGACCGAGGGCGATGCGGAATACAACGTATTGTATTTTATTTATGTCATACCCACCCAAGAAAACGCGCCTTTCAATGCAAGATGAGCCAAAAGTTGGTGCCCCTGAACCCTAAAATGCAACAACATCAGTTCCAATGTTCGGATTCTGTATTCGAATTTTCGAAAGTGGCGCACACAGTTAGTGCGAAACGCGTTCGAATTGTTCTATGGAAGCCATGGAGCCCGGGCCGTACTGTAAAGTATGGCCCGGTCCGGAACCCATTATCGAACGTTATCGCGGCCCGGGTATGATATAAATGATTGTATGATAATGGTCATTGTTAAGCATTCCCTCCAAGTGCACAAGGTTGCACATGGCTGGATATACTGGGTGTATCTGCAGTACGGTGCACTTAAAATTGGAACTATGCACAGACTATAAAAATGATGCTGTCCTTGGTGATGAATATGTTTTTCATTCATATACAATTCTTTTCTTTGCTCCCCATTCTATAAATTAAGATTCAAATTAAAAAAGCTATGCACAGACTACCAAAATGCTGAACTGTCCTTGGTGCTGAATGTTGTTCATTTTATACACAATTCTTTTCTTTGCTGCCCATTTTATCAATTGGGATTCACATTTTTAAAAAAAGCTATGCACAGACTACTAAAATGCTGAACTGTCCTTGGTGCTGAATGTTGTGTATGTTATACACAATTTTTTTCTTTGCTCCCCATTTTACCAATTAGGATTCAAATTTAAAAAAAAAAGCTATGCCCAGAATACAAAAAATGTTGAACTGTTCTCGGTGCTAAATATATTGTTCATTCATATACAATTCTTTTCTTTGCTCCCCATTCTATCAATTCAGAATCAAGTTTTAAAAAGCTATGAACAGACGAAAAAAAATGTTGAACTGTCCTTGGTGCTGAATTTCATTCCTGATGATACACAATTTTTTTCTTTCCGCCCAATTTTATCAATTATGATTCAAGTAAAAAATTGTTGAGCTATCACAGTTGTGCAATGTACAATGTATGTCACTAAATGCTGTGTTTTTCTCTAAAATTCTAGTTGATTTTACTATCATTATACTTATGTTAGTGATGTAGAATGATATGTCTGGAAAAAATGGAAAAAAAACGTGCTATGCATCAAGCAAATTATATAATTTTCAACCATAACGTTACATGCTTGAAATCCCCTATAAGGCCACACCAATTTAATTTCTTGGTTAACGGATTTTTCTAGAAAAATAATGGAGCGGGCAGGCGAAAAAAAATGAAAATAAAAACAGGCCTAGGCATCCTATTATGGCCCAAAACACCAGGCTGGTTAAAAATTTAAACAATGAATTTTGAACTTTTAATGGTAGCACTGCATTGAAAGATGGAATGACTGTAACAAGTAGTAAGAAAAGGACTGTTTTCAACTGTTCAGGGCAAAATATGAGCATTTTGCAGTTGATTCTGAATGTTTATTTTTACTTGCAAATCAGAAAAAAATGAAGAGGCGAATCCGTTAACCAAGAAATTAAATTGGTGTGGCCTAAAAGAGCTTTGTGTACAACCAATGAATAGTGCTTCTTTATTTATAGAACTTTCAAAGAGCTCAATGACATTCAGTCTGTCATAACCTTCATTTGCATTCCAAAGGGAGTGGGGGTTTTACTTGTCTCTGTCTCTACAGCAATGTAATAGTGATGGTGTCTTTTATAAGATATGAAGTGGCGGCTCCCTAGGTGATTAGCTCTAAGCCAGAGGTAGACATTCTGGAGCCACCAGATATGTACAAGTATGCATGCTGATTGCTTCAGTTCTATCCCGGGGGAGATTTTTCCCTTTGTGAAGGAAGACACACTGATCTGAATGTCACATACATACTATATTGGTAGATGGGGGAATTCTTTTTACACAACCAAAGAGTCTCACCTCGCTGACGTTTCGGTGTCTGTCAGACACCTTCTTCAGAGCTTCTGACTGGAGTACTGCATCTCGCCGCTATATGTAGCCGATGTAGGTGGCGCTTTTGCGGCGAGAACACTATCCCAAACGTGGCTTAGTTTGTACCCCCCCTCGTCCCGGTTCATTACAGGGGCTGACTTTCTGATCCAAATTGCCTCCTTGATCCAGCGGGTTCTTCTATTGTCTTCTCTGTCTATAACTTTCGCCCCCTCCCAGTCAATTACGCAGTTGTTTCTAGCAATGTGATCTGTCACTGCTGATTTCTTTTCTTCTTTTTGTGCATGTCTTTTCTGTGATCTTGTGTACTTCACTGTGTCCATGTTGTCAGGGATACTATATTGGTCTCTGAATAGCAAAGTTCTTTTTATCACAACCATAATAATCTATTTTTCACTAGCCGATGTTTCGATGACCTTCTGTCATCTTCATCAGGGCAATTCTGACTGGTTTACTGTGCACTGACACTAGATGTTACTTGGTGCATAGTGCACTAAAGGTGTTACATAGTTCATAGTGCACTTCAGCTAGTTTTTTCTGTTTCTGTAACATCTAGTGTCAGTGCACAGTAAACCAGTCAGAATTGCCCTGATGAAGATGACAGACGGTCATCAAAACGCCGGCTAGTGAAAAATAAATGGTTGTGATAAAAAGAACTTTGCTATTCAGTTGTTTACCAACCTGATGAAATTATTTACTGTAACAGATATATTGGTCTCTGCATAGTCCCAATACTATAACTGAGCTATATACTGTTGTGTTAAGAATGTCTCAGCATAAATGATGAAAGTTTAGAGATGTTTCTCCTACTAGTGAAGTTATAATGAAGTACTAATATTAAATGAAATGAAATAATGACAAAACGTGCAGGTCTCTAGCCTGGGTACCATCCGGATTATTTGATTTTTTCGAGCGTTGCATAGCGAGAATTCGGATGGTACCCAGGCTAGCAGATCTCATCATTGGGTGACATCTTTTGTTATAGCTCTGTAGCTGGTGTAATAAGAGTATTAATAACTGTATTGTGCCAAAGAACTTTATAGTGGAAGAAGACAATTTTGTCAGATATTTACTAATCTGAGATTGTTTAGACTTCTGTTGTACAATACAGCAGTTTTAATCAGAACAAGCTAAATTATTTATTTATTTATTTATTTATTAAGTTTTACCACGTACAATATGCACTGTGGATGGCATGGCGAAACAGGTGTTTCTGACATGGAACACCTTTTCAAAGCCACCATACCAATAAAATGACAAAACAATACAAAAAGTAATCAAATCACATAATACAATTTGAGAAACAAATTAATAAACTTAGAACTACAAGGCAAGTCAACTTATTAACATTGTGAGAGTTATTGATTCGAGACAACAAATAACGACAGTTATATAGCCAGCAGTGATATCACAGTTAGCGCGGTCTTGTGGCCAGACAAGTAGCGCAACCACAAGATAACTGGCACGTACAGGGTTGCTCTAAACTGTAGGTTTGGCAAAATCTGTTGTACAGAAATGAGGAGAGATTATTTGGAAGCTTTAATAGTATGTTTGGAAATGTTTGAAGAGATTGAGATATACATGATGTATATTTCCATACAATGTCATCTCGAATGCAAGATGTGTGTTAGTGCTACATTGACTTACTGCTATTCCGATACAGGGGAATTTAGTCTACATGTACGCAAAACAGGATCAATGTTACAGGGATTGGAATCTAATGTAATCCAGTTTCACACTGATTTATATGTATATGTGTTACCATAGCCTTCCAACGTGACTACATTACTGTTACATAAGATACAGGGCTTGAAATAACATTTTTCTGCATACCTGCACTGGTGCAGGTAACATTGAAAATAACCTTCACCAGACAAGTATTACCTACACTACTCAGAAATTAAGGAGTATTAGTCACACTAAAAACTGTTCAGAAACCATTGCCATGATTATTTTTTGTATAATTCATTAGGCAGAAACAGTGATAGCAACAAATAAAAATCCAAATACAGACCTGTACAATGTACATGACTGTACATCTGCATTATATATATAGACCTTTAGTTGTAGAAGACCTAAAAACGTCCCTGTACTTTTTGTTGTGTCATCTTTTGAACCCAGTACATGGACCAGTGCAGGTTAGGTACAGGTAGACATCAGAAATACCTGCACAGCTCCAATTTTACCTGCACTAACCTGCATCTACCCAGTACATGGACCAGTGCAGGTAGACATCAGAAATACCTGCACAGCTTCAATTTTACCTGCACTAACCTGTATATACCCCCAGTACATGGACCAGTGCAGGTAGACATCAGAAATACCTGCACAGCTTCAATTTTACCTGCACTAACCTGCATATACCCAGTACATGGACCAGTGCAGGTTAGGTACAGGTAGGCATCAGAAATACCTACACAGCTCCAATTTTACCTGCACTAACCTGTATATACCCAGTACATGGACCAGTGCAGGTTAGATACAGGTAGGCATCAGAAATACCTACACAGCAGCTTCAATTTTACCTGCACTATTTCGAGCCCTGCTTATATAAAATCAAGAGCATTTCAGCCTGTGGAGATGTGTAAATATCAGCCGTCCTTCCAGTCACGTTTGTAAGGTTAATGATATGGCAACACTCGAGGCCCCTTCAATTTCAGAACACTCCCAGCTTGCCAGTAATCCTTACGACCTTTCGAAGTAATATCATGGATGGAGGTCTACTATATCAGGTTAAGTGGCAATAACCCTCCTGAACACATCATAAATCCTGCTGGCTTTATATTCTATTTCATGGTGAACCACAAATGCTTCAAAGTCTCAGTGTATTTCCATTTAGTGGGGGGGGGGATAGAAATGACAAAAACAAAGCTATTTTTGGTCACATTTATGTTCTGAACAATTTTGCATTAGAACATTATTAATGTTTCTGTTGAATTCATATGAGATACATTGTATATGGCATGTGCATGGGTAGGATAATTTCCAAACTACATATAAGATTATCATGTACATAATATCGCCACCTTGAGAAACAGTGTGCTTAAAGATATTTTTACAGCAACATACTCTTTGTATGCACTCCTTCACACATCAAATGTACATACCTAGGGAATGTTGCAGTAAAAATATCTTTAAGCACACTATTTCTCAAGGTGGCGATATTAATATATTATTATGGACCCTGGTGATATTATGGACACATGTTACTTTTTTCAATACAGTATTTTTTTCAGTTTTTTTGTTTCAATACAATAAAATATAGAAGTTTGAATTATGCATTGATTTTAGTATTACTGTATATTGGGTATAATGGAAGGGCTATATGGACTGTGATGGATAAATGATTGAGCAATAATATCTGAACAATCTTTATTGATAAAGTACTATTGGCCAGCCAAGCATAATAACATTGTCCTCTGTGGTGTAGTAAGACTGTTTGTAAGCTATTACAGTCATAATCGACTGTCAATTGTGATATCTTCCCCAGTGATTTTACTGATACAGAGAAAGGAAGGAAAAGATAGAATAGGAAAGGAAAAGAAAAGAAAGGAAAGTGATCATCAAGATTTTTAGCTCACTAAAGAGCTAAACCCCCACTAATTATGGAAATGATCAGATACTATATTCAGTATTTACTGGTTCATAGGGAAGTTTTCCTACTCTTTTTCAATTTTTTGACTAGCACAATGAAGTTGCAATACTGCAGCTTAATGTCCCATCCTAGGGACTGTGACATGAGCAACAGTGGGATTTGAACTCCCAACCTCTTGGTCCAGAAGCATGGTACAGACTGTTTTATTGACTGTTTTTCCCCCCATTTTTCTGATCTGTAGGCTGTGGAAACGGGAAGTATCTGGACATCAACCCCTTCACATGGAAACTGGGCTCTGACCACTGCAACAGTCTGGCCAGCATCGCAGGCAGTAGGGGTCACGAGGTCATGGTCTGCGACAACCTGCGGCTCCCCTATCGTGACAACTGTTTCGACGCCGCGATCTCCATCGCCGTGGTCCACCATTTCGCCACGGTGGAGAGGAGGGTCGCCGCGATACGGGAGTTGGCGCGAGTGGTGCGGCCTGGGGGACAGGTTATGATCTACGTGTGGGCGCTGGAGCAAACCCACAGAAAGGTACACTCAAGGACTGAGTGTTTTGTCTCCCTTATTTCTATATCTACTTCTTCTTCTTCTTCGTTACTGCCCAGCCCTACAGTGTAGGATTATTGGCAGCCGTTACGCATTGTTAATAACAATTGTGACCCGGTACATAAAAAACAAAGGGAAAACAATAACTGAGAAGGGAACATAAAGCAACTGATTTTGTGTGACTGCTAAAGACGGGATAAGTGCATTAGTGCGTTACACATATACAAGACATGATGGGGTGGCTCAATATGCAGCAGGGTCCTCGCCAGTTCAGATTTGAACTGGGCAAGAGACCCCACCTCCGCCGCACCAGGCTCAAGTTCAATTCGTTCCATTCCCTGATGGTGCGGGGGAAGAACGAGAGCCTGTAGAAGTTGTTTCTGCTCGCGATGGCCTGCAATGTTTGAGTGTGATTGATGCGGCGGGAGCATCGAGCCACCGGGACAATCCTGGTTGAGTGTGGGACGGAGACAGCATTATGTATTATCTTATAAAACATGACCTGGCGGGCGATCTTCCGACGTACATGTACTTCCAGAGACTGCCAGCCCAGGTTTTGCAACATAGATGTGACAGAACTTGTACGTCTGTAGTCACTGCAGACAAAACGGGCAGCTCTACGCTGGACCGTCTCCACCCTACTCACCCTACTTGAATGCCACTTTTTATGTTTGCTGCAAACTTGAATGATGGCACAATCTTTAACATCTCAGAAATGTAACAATGGTCACAAAAAAGTTTTTGTTTTGCTTTACAAAACATTTCCATTCTCCGATGTCTTACAATTTACCTGATAATTGATATTAAAGTTTGTTGTTTTGCCACTTTTGAAACCATAATGGTGGACCAAGTCATCTACTTGTAAAAGTTGGACTGTTGTTTCATATTACTTATGATAGCTAAATGTTGTTTTGTACAGTTTGAAGCTCAAGATGTCCTGGTCCCCTGGCACATGCAGGCACACTACCTCCAAAGCACAGGTAGGATAGAATTTCAAACTTTACATGAAAGAGCTTTGTGTAGTACATATAAGGTAGAGCAGATTCATTCCTCAAGCAAATAAATTGCAACATCTTTCATGCCTGAGCATTCTCAACTTGTGTAAGAGCATCCATTTTAACCCTGAGTAATTTATATTTAAGGAGCCATGCATTTCTGTTTCAGATAGGGATTTTGATTTTTGACCATATTAAATTTTCCTGAGATTTTTATGCGAAACCTTAGTAGGAAATTAAATGTGGCCACTTCTTATTTTCAGCACACAATACCCCTAAGAAGCAGAAGAAGGTCAAAGACAAGTCCAAGAGAAACAATCACCACGTTCAAGACCATCAAGACTCCTCAAGAATGTCCATCTTGAGCCAAAGACCAAGCAGCAATCAACACAGTCACTCCGTCCACAAGAATCACTCACAAAGTGCATTACAGCAAAGTTCCAAGTGCCAAGAGCCGTCCAAAAGAAGGGGGAGCTTCTCTATCTTAGGTCTGAACCTTCCCTTTGCCGAGCGGAATGGGTATCACTGGAATTCCGAGACCAGTTTGTTCCGTAGCCTGTGGAACAACAGCATGGAACAGCTCTCCCAGGGGGAGGATAGCTACGAAAAGAGAACAGCCACTTCGGTGGAAGGCTTTGACCACCAGAATGTAACAAACAACAAAACGAACGGGATCACAGAAGCGTATCTCAAAGCGGACCGGCGAACTCGATCGTTGGACATCGAGAACACAGAGGACAGCGACGGCGTAGAAGTCTCCATACCTAACGGCGAAACGAGAGAGCTACAAAACAAATACGGCTCCGCAGACCGAGCGAGGAAACCGTTAGAACAGATCCGACAGGAACAAGAGCATGTCCGCGGGCGATCCCACTCGCTTGGCGGGGAAGACATCAGCGAAAAGTACTACCGTAATCACCACAAGCCCGAGGCAGCGCCCGCGGAACCAGAGGATCTATCGCAGTACCACAGGTACTATCACGTGTTCAGGGAGGGCGAACTGGCAGGGCTGATAGAGGAACATGTGGAAAATCTACATATTCTGCAGGACTTCTACGATCATGCTAACTGGTGTGTCATTGCAGAAAAGGTCCAGGTTTGGACGATCTGATATAAAAATGGTAGTCAAGGTCATATGAAAGAATTGTATAATTATAGTACTTTAACACTTGTGCAATGCTGCTGAATGAATCATAAGATCTACTTACTAGAATATTACTTCTAATACTTCTCTGTTCTTCCCTCAAATCTTAATTATGATTTGTCAAATTTTATTTACTGATGTTGAAATTTGTTAAGAAGCCTAGACTAGTACACTTTCCTGTTGTTTTACAAAACAAAGTATTTTAAAGTATATTGAAGATATGTTGCAAGAATTGGCTGTGTCTTGTGTGTATGGAAGATTCTGAGTGATTTGTGAATTTATACTGTTGATCAGTGACAGTGATTAAGAAATGTTGTCGCAGTCTACTCAATTTGATCTTAGACTTACTAGTCTAATATCTGTTTAAAAAGTTGTCAAGTTTTAATGGCCAAATGTTTTACTAATATGTTAAGATGGTTATATCCTTACAATGTAACAATTGTTTTTAACTTCTACATGGATTCTTGAGCCATATGTATGTGGATAGAATAAATATTCATACAAAATGTACTTGCAACATTTGGAAAACTATTTTAGAATTTTTTTTGTTTTCTGTACGCTCAGCAAGTACATAGTTTTGGTAACATTACTTACAAAAATGTACTAGTATCACATTGTGGATATTAGAAATTGGTATCAAATGGAATTCTGGTAGTAATGTGTCACCTGTGAAATTACATCTGAGTATCTAGGTAGCTTTATAAAACACAGTAAACCTAAAATGGATTGAAACTTGTCTACTGTGATCCGATTAGAAAAATATTTAGGAGAAAATTGTGTAAAAATAGCCATAACAAGAATTCGGAGATCTCATATACCTCCATGAAATATATGAGTTTTTCTAAATGTTTTTACACAGTACACTATACTACAGTACAAAACAAAATAACACAGGTTTTTGGTATCTGTATCGGTATAGCCAGTATAACTGCCCTTCGGCGTAACACACCAGCTTAAAACACACAGTAGCACCTTTGGCCTGGATATGGTCAGGTAGGCTTTTCCCAAGGGAGAAACTCATTAATCAACCCGGGCAGGCGCTGCCTCCACCCCGCACATCTGTTTTCCCGGAAGTTCTGCTGCAGTACCAAGGTCAGCCACCAGGAGGCCCATATTTGACCTTGACCTTCCTAAGACCTACCAGCATACCAAATATCATCACAATCTATAAAGGTGTTCTGAAGTTATGCTGACTACAAATGTGCGGAAACACACACACACATACACACACACACACACACACACAGACGCGCCAGAAACAATACCTCCATTTTTCATGGAGGTAAAATCTGTGTATATGAAGGTAGTCAATGTTGGTGTGAAAATAGCCCTAGCTGCTGACAATTAACAGATCAGCAAAATATATCAAATTCTTCATGTTAAAAAGTGAACAAAAATTGAAATGATATAATAGAGTTGTAAAACTAATGTTGACAGTGGTTTGCCATGTAGGTTCCATCCCATTTTCAACAATGTTTGTTGTCTAATTGTTCTTATTGTTGCATCATATTCAGATTGTATCAAACTAATCATAATTTTAGAAAGTATTCGGACAGTACTTTTTAACAAGTTTGTTTCCATTATCTGTTTTAAGAAGTTGCAAAGTTGCAGAATTTAATCTAAGAGTGTGTTGAATTCCAGAGACAAGAATGTAGTTTTAGTTCTCAAGTTAATAGGCACAAAGTCATTGTAGTTTGAGTGTTTTTGGCAATGCCTCAGGAGAAGAGCTATCTTAAATGTGATAGATTTGTGAAAGAATTCTGCATGGTAGGTGATGTAGATGTGAAATGTAATGTTGAAACAATCTTGGTAGAAATACAAATAGACAAAGTTGTAGAATTGTACAATTGAGCTAGTGTGATTTAACCGTATGGACGGGAAAACTTTATGTTTGATTTTTATTCAGTTTTTTTGTTAACACCTAGTTCCAACTGCTCTTGTGACAATGATGGAAAATGTTCTGGTGCATGGCCAAAGTATTCTGTAACCCACAATTCAAATAGTTGTCATTTAAAGTCTCATTCCATTTTAGGGAAGAAAAGTAAAACTAAGTCGAAAAATGGTGTTAGCAGTGATTTGAAGAACTCTTACAAATGTAAAAGCAATATTCTGATGCATGGAAAATTGTGTTGCTTTGTCATGAGTAATGATATGAAGATTCATAAAACTCTGCACTCTATACCATGTCAAAACTGGTCCATATATACTATAACAGCCTCCAGTTTAATTCCGGACTTCCAGTTTAATTCCGGACAACCTCCCATATCTCAGCAACCTTAAACCCAGATGGGCTAATATCGCAAATCATAGGTAAAAATGATGTAAGAAATATGTAGCAGCTATTTGCGACCCCCTGGGGGTTTGTCCAATTATGCATAATTATGCATAATGCTTTGAGGGGTTATGCATAATTATGCATAATGTTCAAGGGTTATAATACATAAAATAATTGGACGAACCCCCAGGGGTCAGCGAATAGCTGCTACATATTTCTTACATCATTTTTACCTATGGTTTGCGATATTAGCCCATCTGGGTTTAAGGTTGCTGAGATATGGGAGGTTGTCCGGAATTAAACTGGAAGTCCGGAATTAAACTGGAGGCTGTTCTATATATACTAGCTGCTATAAAAGTTGAAATTTCTCTTGTCACAGCAAATAGATTGTCCAGTCTATACATTATACATCTGTACACACACATGTTAATTGTAGACATATCCTACCTGTATATGAAAGGTTTCTCAACGTATTGTACTTTTGTAGTTAGTCTGAGTGTGTAGTTTTGTAGCCAATTTAGAGAATGTATAATTTTGTATGAAGTTGAATAAAGTCTGTTACTCTTGTTACGTGTGTACCTGGCAGGAACTTTTATGTGAAAATAGTAATGCTATACGTTTAGGGAAAGATGAGTGTAAAATGTCAAATGAAGAGTGATTACATGGCAACAACCTTTAATCACGCATCTGGAAGAAAATTGAATTGCTGGATGCCGTTCAAGCCGCCTGCATTGTGTGTGTAATTTGGTAGGGGGCGTTGTCGGTAGGCAAGACGCAGATCGCAAAATCCATGTAGCCTTCAATCCTTAGGTACCTAAAGTCGCTCAACGAACTACATAGTAAAATGCTGTCCACATACTTGTAACAACACGCACGTCTCAGGCCACAGGCATCTCACTGGCATGTCCAGTCTTTGGATCCAGGCCATAGGGCAAGGCCTAACGTTAACGGTAGGTCTTCACTTCGGGCCATTCTTCAGATAAATCCACCACTGTCCACAGTACCTACTGGAGGAATGAGTGAATATAAACTGTTTAAAACGAGACGAGATTGCAAATAGGTAAAGAATAGTCTAATCTACCACTGTACGTAGTGCTATGTTGCTCAAAATTGAGGAATAGAGGGAATAATAAGATGCGTATTTATTCAAGTTATACATAATAGCGGATTATGTAACACAAGGGGTCCATTTACCTTCAAAGGGTGTAGATTTCCGTAGATCTCTTTAGGGTTGGCAGTCCGAATTCTAGAAGGCCGCGACCGAACTGACTATCCTTTTCTTTGGCCTCTTGAAATAGAAACCGTACGCATCTGCTCTTCTCCTTTGTCTTATTCTCTTTTGTCTTTTAAAATTGTTCATTAGCACTGGGATCGTGCGTCCATTTGACACAACGCCTGTGATTCTCCTCT